AACTGGTAATCTGATGTACCAAAACATTCTCTCAATGTTCTGAGTACCAAATAGCTCAATATTTACCAAAGGAAAAATTTAAAGTGAAAGTCAAATTTAAGCCCAAAATAGCCAAGATGAAAGCATAGCTGACTTAAAGAATTTTTCCAGTTCGGCTAGTTTAAACTTAAAAATTTACCTTGAATTTGCTTTGGATTCTCACCTTAGTAAATAACCCGCTCTATATTACCATCCTGGCCACATGCCGAGTGTCACTCTCAGTAGTGAAAGGCTTGTAATAGCACCTAAACATGCAGGTAGCCGACAACCATACCCACCCTCCCACATTTACAGGTGTAAAACAAGGCTTTACAACAAACAATAACAAAACGACAATATATAGGCAGAGGAAAAGATGCCCAAAAAACGTGGTTGCCAGCGAAGTTGGAATTTCCCAAGAACTCTGTGTTACCAATTGCATTTGTCTGGTTTAGAAAATAGCTGTGTCTAACACCAATATCCATTAAAATGACTGTAACCCAAAGAACACACTCAGCCACTTCTAATCAACAAAGGGAACTTAACCAAAACCACATGTGACCTGGTTATAAAGGTCAACATTCATATACACTGTCAGAGTTTCCACACAAATCCAATTTATGATGCTAATTAAATGTGAAATTGCATGTTGTAAACTATGTGTTTTTATTTAAAAAAAAAATTGCCAACATCTAAATGTTTTCTTATAAAACAACAAAAATTGAAAAGTCTTTTGTTCCGCTATCCTGATTACATTTTGTATATATTTATTTTATGTGTTGTATCATATTACCAAATGTATAATCACTTCCATCTCGTTTGAGCCACCATCCCTTTAATTCTGTCACATTTGCTATGGATTAATCTGCTATACAGACTGGAAAAAAAAATAAACTTTTTCCTTTTTTTGCCCCAAATATAAAATTGCAGATGCCTGCTGTTCTCAACCTACATCAGAGCACACAACTCTTAGTTCCCTGGGAATTGCAGACAAAAGGGAAATTGCAATTTAAGGATAAGATAAACCTCACAGGTGTTGCTAATTACAATTCCAAAAACAGGCATCCGTCGCCCATTTCATGTTTTTAAGGATCATTAAGCCCTGCCCTCAAACTCCTACTACTCCTGGGCGGCAGCAACGACTATAGTGCACATCAATACATACAATAAAAAAACAAAGAAAGAAAAGTTACTTGCACACTATCCCAAATCCCTATGCAAATAACTGGAGGCAGGGCGCTACCATAAGGCGGTACAGGTGACCCCCTTAGGGCGCTCCGGCCCAGCGGGCGCAAATATCTGGGTGACCGGCAGGAGAGAAGTTCCTGTAGCTTGGCCGAGCGCCAGTACTACGGCTGCCTAGTGCAGGAGGAGGGCGTGCTCTATGTCCGCATTTTCTGTATAGCTTCCTCATATTCCGACTCCTAGGCACCATTGCGGGGCGCGCAAGGGAGCTATACGGGAAATGTGGACATACCTCAGAGGCAGCCCATTGGACCCCAGTTCAGCAGTAGGTAGGTAGGGAGAGGGGGAGGGAGTGTGTCTCTAAGCCCCACTCCTCCACACTATTGTTCCCTCCCACCATAGCCCCGGTCTTCCACACTGCTGCCCCCAATATAGTTCCTACTCCCCACCATAACCCCAGTACCCCCCAATTCTGCCTTATTGCCCCCCAAAACTGCCACTACCAACCCACCATAACCCTAGTCCCCCACAATGCTGCCCTGCTGCCCCAATATTGTCCTTACCCCCCCACCATAATCCCAGTCCCCAAAAATGCTGCCCTGCTGCCCCCAATACTGTCCCTATCCCAAAGATGATGCCCTGCTGCCCCCAATAATGTCCCTACCCCAAAGATGATGCCCTGCTGCCCCCAATACTGTCCCTACCCCAAAGATGATGCTCTGCTGCCTCCCAATACTGTTCCTACCCCTTAACCCCAGCCCCCACAATGCTGCCCTGCTGCCCCCAATCCCACCATTACCCCCCCACCATTACCCCAGTCCCCCACAATGCTGCCCCCAATACTGTCCCTACCATCCCACCATTACCCCAGTCCCCTACAATGCTGCCCTGCTGCCCCCAATACTGTCCCTACCATCCCACCATAACCACAGTCCCCCACAATGCTGCCCTGCTGCCCCCAGTACTGTCCCTTACCCCCACCTTAACCCAGTTCCCATAATGCCACTGCTGATACTATCACAACGCTTCCCTGCTGCCCCTCAATACTGTTCCTACCCCCCACCATAACCCCAGTTCCCATAATGCTGCACTGCTGCCCCTCAATACTGTCCCTTCCCCCATAATGCTGCCCTGCTGCCTCCAAATACTGTTCCCACCCCCTATTATCCCAGTCCCCCCAATGCTGCCCCCCCAATACTGCCCCGTCCCACCACCATAACTTCAGTCCCCCACAACGCTGCCCTACCTCCCCACAATACTCCCACATTCCCCCAATACTATCCCTATCCCCCACAATAGCCACAGTTTCACACAATGCTGCCCTGCCCCCCAATACTGTTCCTATGACCCCACCATAGCCCCAATTCCCCACAATACTGCCTCTACCCTTAACATTGCACACATGGGTTGGGTGGCAGCATTGTAACATGGCTGTGTGATACAAAAGTGAATACAAATACACAAATATAAGTCCTGCGCTCAAACTCCCATTATTTCTGGGCGGCAACAATGACTATAATTCACATCATTCCTAATACATACAATAAAAACCAAAGGAAAAAGAAAAAAAAAAAATATATATGGGGGCAATAAGGAGGGTAAATCCGGCTCTGCAGAGAGCACAACTGAAATGCTCTCTGCTAATATGAACACTAATTTTGGCTAGGGTTTGTGACTAAGTGGCTACTAAAAAGAATGGACATACCTCAGTTTGATGGGGTTAATTTTCACTTCTGGGCAGCCATACGGTAACAAAGGCAACAGAGACCCAGCAAACCAATCTGGCAAATTTCGATGTGTAAAAACTGAAATGGGCAAGCCCTATATTTGACTCTGTAACTTCCAAAACCCCATTAAACCTGTACATGGGGGGTACTGTTGTATGTGTGAGTCACCACTAAACACAAATGTGAGTGTTTTAGAGCAATAAAATGCATAATAACAATGATATCATCAGTGAAAGTGCAGTTTTTGTGTGAAAAAATGCAAAAAACAAATACGAATGTTAACTTTGGCCAGCATTTGTAACTAAGTGACTACTAAAAAAAAATACTGGATATACCCCATTTCAAATACCTTGGGTTGTCTAGTTTTGCAAATGGTATGCCACAATGGAGGTAATTCTCATTCCTGGGCTACCATACAGTCTCAAAAGCAACATAGGCCCCCAAACCAATCTGGCAGTTTTATAGTTTCAAAGAGTTTTCTTTAACCCCTTAAAGTCGTTACGGCGTTCTATGCCGTCCCGCATTAAAAGGGCTTTAAAGCCGTTGTGGCGGCATAGAACACCGTAACGGCTTGCAGCCCCAGGAGATCGGAGGTACTCACCTCCGCTGCGATCCTCTTCTGGAGGGCTGCCTGACAGCCCAGGCAGACCTCCCCTGGCAAATGAGGCCCCCTATAGCTGGCTGTGGATCTGCCAGCAGGGGGACTGTCTGAAATGTCAGACAGTCCTTCTGCTGGTGGGAAGTGTAAAATAAATTAATTAAACATGTTTAAAATAAAAATTATGTGTATATATGTATATATAAAATATATATGTATATATTATATATATAATATATATACATATTATATATATATATATATGTAACATCATACATAGTGTATTTTAATATTAATATAAGTACATTTATTAGTATTAAAATACACTTAGAATGACATTACATATATATAATATGTATACATATTATATATATAATAGATATATACACATTTATTATATATATATACACGTATAATTACAATAATAAATAAATAAAATAAAATAATAAAATAAATAAATAAAATATTGAAACAAAATTTAATATAAATTATATATTCATATACTGGTATGTAATTTCATTCTAACTGTATTTTGTTATTAATATATATATATATATTGGTAACAAAATACACTTAGAATGACATTCTATATATATCTATCTATATATAAAATACAAATAACCGCAAATATATATATATATAGATAAATACATAATTACATAAAAGATAACATTAGTATACACGTAAAATTTAAATACCTATAAATGCATATATATTAAAATTCTACATGTATATTTAAGAAATCTTTTAACATAATTATGTGATTTGATTAATTCAAATTTGATTGACATGCCTGACAACACAGGGAGAAAGTGCAGAGAATTTAATTCGCAAGCACTATATTTGACCCTGTAACTCTCCAAGGCACCATAAAACCTGTACATAGGGGGTACTGTTTTACACAGGACACTTCGCTGAACTCAAATATTAGTGTTTCAAACTGGTAAATTGTATTACAATGATGATATTTTAAGTAAAAGTGACGTTTTTTGCATTTTTTACAAACGAATGACACTTTTATGGACTATATTATTGTTGTAATATGTTTTACTGTTTTAAAACACTAATATTTGTGTTTAATGAAGTCTTCCGAGAATAACAGTACCCCCCATGTACAGGTTTTATGGTGTTTTGGAAAGTTAGAGATTCACATATAAGGCTTGCATTTAATTTTTTTGACATTGAAATTTGCCAGATTGGTTATGTTGCCTTTGAGAGCGTATGGTAGCCCAGGAATGAGAATTACCCCCATGATGGCATACCATTTGCAAAAGTAAACAACCCAAGTTATTGCAAGTGGGGTATGTCCAGTCTTTCTTAGTAGCCACTTAGTCACAAACACTGGCCAAATATTAGTTTGTTTGCTTTTTTCACACTAAAACAAATATGAATGCTAACTTTGGCCAGTGTTTGTGACTAAGTGGCTACTAAAAAAGACTAAACATACCCCACTTTCAATACCTTGGGTTGTATACTTTTTCAAATGGTATGCCATTATGGGGGTAATTCTCATTCCTGGGCTACCACACCGTCTCAAAGGTAACATTGCTAATCTGGCAAATTTCAATTTGAAAATGGAACGTTCTATATTTGACCCTGTAACTTTCCAAAACACCATAAAACCTGTTAATGGGGGGTACTGTTGTACTCGTGAGACATCGCTGATTACAAATATGTGCATTTTTTGCAGTAAAACCTAACAGTATTATGACATTCACAGCTAAAATGTCAGACGGAAATACAAATTTTAAAAAAAATCTTATTTTCTCACATTTTTTTAAATTTTATTCATAATAAATTATGTTCCATATATGAATAGTTAATGATAAATTAAAGCCCTGTTTCTCCTGAACAAAATGATATATAATAAGTGTGGGTGCACTCAGGGCCAGATTAAGAGCCCAGTGGGCCTGGTGCTGACAATTATGACGGACCTAATTACAGAATCATATCGACCGAAAACAGTAAAAAACTCCCAAGCATCATGTATCTGAAGGAGATGATGCTGGAGAGAAAGAAAACAGCAGCTATAAGAAAACACATACCCTAGGCTAATTTCTCTAATTTATGTTTTCATCTTTCAAGTAAATCCATAACCCCTAACAGCAGTGTCCAGTCAAGCAGGAAGTCAATGGGCATGGTACAAGGGTGTGCCACTGACACAAATCACGTAACCTGCCAAAAGGGGCGAACATGCCCAAAAAGAGGACATGTCTGCTTGAAGAATTAGAAGGCCAGCCTGGCATGAATGCATGTCAGGCTGCCTGCCAATCATGCAGCTGGCCAACTAAGGGCATACTATGAAGACAGCACCCTGAGCTTGGCATAAATGCATCTAATGATGCGCTCACTCAACGCTTTCTAAGGACTGTCCCCTAGCACTCGCTGGTCCACTTGTCTCCTCACCTTCTTACTAGCAGGAAAAAGCTCCTGGTATATGGTCTGGGACAGAGAAAAGCTGTATGTAGTGAGTGCAGAAGAAAGGGAACATGCCACAGTGTTAGAGAGACCAAAGTCAGCATTACCTTAAAGGATCACTATAGGGTCAGGAACACAAACATGAATTCATGACCCTATAGTGTTAACACCACCATCTAGTCTCCCTGGGCCCCTCATGCCTCCATAAATATAGCAAAATCCTACTATATTCAAGCCTGAAGCTGTAACTCTGCAAGCTGTTAGACTCATAAAAACAAGCAGTCTGCTGACATCATTAGAAGTGGTGGCCTGATCCAATCACAGTGCTTCCCCATAGGATTGGCTGAGACTGACAAAGAGGCAGATCAGGGTCAGAGCCAGCATGATTCAAACACAGCCCTGGCCAATCAGCATCTCCTCATAGAGATGAATTTAATTAATGAATCTCTATGAGGAAAGTTCAGTGTCTGCATGCAGAGGGAGGAGACACTGAATGTTTGGATGCATTTTAGGCAGCCATGACACAGGAAGGATCTCTAACAGTCATCTGAGGAGTGGCCAATGAAGTTATCACTAGGATGTAATGTAAACACAGCATTTTCTCTGAAAAGACCGTGCTTACAGCAAAAAGCCTGAAGGTAATGATTCTACTCACCAGAACAAATTCAATAAGCTGTCGTTGTTCTGGTGACTATAGTGTGCCTTTAACTATATTCATTGTCAGCCAGTCCACACAAGTTTTGTTCCCATACATCCCTCTTAAGTTTCCATACTTAAGTAAGAGTATGTGAAAAGTAGTTAGGGTTGCCACCTTTCTTGGAAAAACATACCGGCCTTACTAATTAGCATAATTAAATATGTGTGGGTGACATCACATGATATAAATCACAAGGAGTGACATAAGAGAAAATGCTGTAAAATCACCAAAAAACTACTTCGTTTAAATCTGCTGTATAGATGGATTCCTCCCAGTGCCCCCATGTCTCCCAGTGCCCTCATGACTCAGTACCCCATGTGTCGATTACTCCAGGTCTCAGTGTTCCTATGTATCAGTGTTTCAGTGCCCCATGTCTCCCAGTGTCCCCTAGTGTCGTGTCCCCAGGTCTCCCAGTGATCCTATGTATCAGTGTCTCAATGGCCCATGTCTCCCTGTGTCCCCATGTATCACAGGGTCCCCATGTCACTAGGACACTAGGAAGACGGGGAGACCTGGAGACACGGGGAGACCTAGGGACACGGAGCCACCAGTGACACTGGGAGACTAGGGGACTCAGGCTGGGACACATGGGGACAATGGGAAAATAGGGGACACTTGAAGACATTGGGACACAGACACCAGGGACAAAGATACTAGAGACACTGGCTGGGGGACATGGGGACATTGAGACATGGGGGCACTGGGAGACATGGGGACACTGAGACACGGGGAGACCTAGGGACACGGAGCCACCAGTGACACTGGGAGACTAGGGGACTCAGGCTGGGACACATGGGGACAATGGGAAAATAGGGGACACTTGAAGACATTGGGACACAGACACCAGGGACAAAGATACTAGAGACACTGGCTGGGGGACATGGGGACATTGAGACATGGAGGCACTAGGAGACATGGGGAGAGTGAGACACTGGCAGACTGGGAGACTAGGGGTCACTGGGAGACTAGGGGGCACTGAGACACCAGGGACACTGGCTGGGAGACATGGGGACACTGTGTCCCCATGTGTCTGTCCATAATGTCTCCCAATGTCCCTTAGTGTCTCAGTGTCTGCCATAATGTCTCCCAATGTCCCTTAGTGTCTCATTGTCCCCATGTCTCCTTGCAGCTTTCCCCCCATCCCTTACTTCCCTGAGGTGTAGGCTGTTTCTGCAGGGCGGGAGTTGCTGTTTGGACTCTCTGTAGCTGCACCCCTGCAGATCACTGAGTACTTCCTATCCCTGCCTGTCTCCACACACAGCGACCCCTACTGGCCAGTGCTGGTATTGCAGCGTAATCTCCATTTATACTGAGAAAAATACCAGCATTTATATTGCCAGTATCACTGCAATATTGGCACCAGCCAGGCAGCCTCAAATACTGGCTGTGCCAATAAAATAAAAGTCAGGTGGAATCCCTAAGAGTTTGTGTGGAAAAAAAAATGTAAAAAAAAAAAAATGTTAAAAAAAAAAAAAATTTTTTTTTTAAATCAATGGGCCTATTCCATGGGCCTGGGCCTGGAGCTGCAGCTCCATCAGCCCCTATGTTAATCCGGCCCTGCTATTGGTGTCCCAATATGTATTCTCCCTCTTTCCCCTGCTAAGGAACACTGACTTCAGAAATACCAGAGGCCTTTATTGCCTCTTGTAAAAAGTAAGGTAAAGTAAAGACTTGTCTGTTAAAAGGGAAAACATGCAGGCTTGTAAACCCAAGGGCTAACCACAGATCAACAATAACAACTTGTCAGCAACACAGAGCGCCTCTGTCCATGTAACTTACGTCATAGCCAAATGGGTATGAAGAGATAGCTCTTGACTTAAGATATGTCTCATAAAGGGTCACGAACCACCGCCACCAGAACCATGCTGTGCTATCCATGGTTGCTCTAATTTTGGATTGGAAGGAATTGTCCAAAACAGGAATGTAAAATTTCCATGTTTGGAATAATTTATTACCTAGAATTAGTTTTTTGGCCAAAGTGTTCAACCAATCAATTTTTGAGTTTGGTTAAGAATAGATGCAAAAGATGGTGCACAAGACTGGATCCACACTGAAGTATTGCATTACGCCCCTCTGCTGCTGCGACAGGGTGTGTTGTGAGTGTCTAAATTATGATTCACATTCTCCCAAAAGGACTTGAATATGCTGCCCTCTCGCAGACAGTGATATAAGTAAAAATCAGCATGGTTTTATGAAGCACAGGTCATGCCAAACGAACTTGGTTGCGTTCTACGAAGAAGTAAGTAGAAGTATAGACCAGGGTATTGCAGTGGATGTGATCTATGTGGATTTTGCCAAGGCATTTGATACAGTTCCACGCAATAGATATGTGTTCAAACTCAAGGAAATCAGTCTTGATGAAAATGCTTGTTCTTGGGTAGAACATTGGCTTAAAAATAGAGTACAAATAGTTGTCATTAATGGTAGATTTTCAAGCTGGACAGAGGTGGCAAGTAGTGTCCCTTAGGGTTCTGTTCTGGGACCCGTTCTATTTCACATGTTTACAAATGATCTTGAAAAAAGCATCGAAAGTCATGTTTCAGTGTTTGCAGATGACACACAACTCTGTAAAATAATACAATGTGAGCAAGATATTACTTTGCTGCAGAGGGATTTAGATAGACTGGGGGACTGGGCACTCAAATGGCAGATGAAATTTAATGTTGAAAAATGCAACGGTATGCACTTCGACGTAAAGAATGCACAAGCAATATATACCCTTAATGGAAGCGAATTAGGGATAACAACACACGAAAAGGACATGGGAATTGTTATAGACAACAAACTGTGCAACATTGTGCAATGTCAAATCAGCAGTGGCTAAGGCCAGTAAGGTATTGTCATGCATGAAAAAGGGCATTTATTCTCGGGATGAGAATATCATTTTGCCTCTTTATAAATCACTGGTAAGACCACATATGGAATATGCTGTCCAATTTTGGGCACCTGTTTTAAAGAAGGATATTATGGCACTAGAGGCAGGCTAAAAAATTAATAAAAGGAATGGAACATATCAGCTATGAAGAAAGGTTAACACATTTAAACCTCTTTAGTTTAGAAAAACGTCACCTGAGAAGGGTTATGATAACATTATACAAATATATTCTGGGCCAATACAAACCATTGTGTGGAAATCTATTCACAAACCGGACTTTACATAGGACACAAGGTCATGCATTTAGACTGGAAGAAAGAAGATTTCGACTAAGGCAAAGGAAAGGGTTTTTTTAATGTAAGAACAATAAGGATGTGGAATTCTCTGACTGAAGAAGTGGTTTTATCAGAGTCCATACAGATGTTCAAACAGCAACTAGATGCATACTTGCAAAAACAGAATATTCAAGGATATAATGTTTCAATGTAGGGTAATAGCTGCTTGATCCAAGGATAAGTCTGACTGCCATTCTGGGGTCAACAAGGAATTTATTTCCTAGTTTGTTGCAAAATCGGAAGTGCTTCAAACTAGGTTTTTTTTTACTTCTTTTGGATCAACAGGAAGGCTGAACTTGATGGACGCAAGTCTCTTTTCAGCTATGTAACTATGTAAGTCTGCATTTGCGTGCGTGCATTTGAATTGTGTTGCTGAGTCACTTATAGCTATGATGTAAAGGTAATGTGGA